GGTCGGGGCCCAGAGCCGATACGGGCCGTACCCACAGGCGAGCCCGAGTTCCGCTACGTGGCTGGGATGCACGGCAATGAGGTGCTGGGCCGGGAGCTGCTGCTCAACCTGATGGAGTACCTGTGCCGCGAGTTCCGGCGCGGCAATCCCCGTGTGGTGCAGCTGGTCACCGGCACTCGCATCCACCTCCTGCCCTCCATGAACCCCGACGGCTACGAGACCGCCTACCGCCTGGTAGGGGCCCCAAACCCAAACCCCAGGCGCTCGTCCCGCTGCCCGCCGGCTGACCCCGCGCGCCCCATAGGGCTCGGAGCTGTCGGGTTGGGCCATGGGCCGCTGGACCTATGAGGGCATCGACCTCAACCACAACTTCGCCGACCTCAACACGGCGCTGTGGGACGCTGAGGACAACGACCTGGTGCCCCACCAGTTCCCCAACCACTACATCCCCATCCCTGAGTACTACACCTTCGCCAACGCCACGGTGAGGGCACGGCGCTGTGGGGCGCGGGGATGCTGTGAGGGTCCTGGGGGTGTCCCCACGATGGCGGTGTCACCACTGGAGTCCCCTGGGGCACAGGGGTGAGTTGGGGGTCCAAGCTGTGCCCCCACGATGCAGCGTTAGCACAGGCGGCCCCTGGAGCACAGGGTTGGGTTGGGGGTCCCAGCTGTGCCCCAGTGATGCTGCGTCACACAGGTGACCCCTGGGGGCACAGGGCTGAGGTGAGGGGTCTCAGCTGTGACTCGATGACACGGTGTCACCATAGGTGACCCCTAGGAGCACAGGGCTGGGCTGGGGGTCCCAGCTGTGCCTCCATGATGCAGCGTTACTGCAAGTGGCTCCTGGGGCATAGGGCTGGGTTGGGGATCCAGCAGTGCCTCTATGATGCAGTGTCACCACAAGCAGCTCCTGGGGGCACAGGGCTGGGTTGGGGGTCCCAGCTGTGCCCCAATGATGCAGCGTCACACAGGTGACCCCTGGGGGCACAGGGCTGAGGTGGGGGGGTCTCAGCTGTGACTCGATGACACGGTGTCACCATAGGTGACCCCTGGGGCACAGGGCTGGATTGGGGGTCCCAGCTGTGGCCCAGTGATGCTGCATCACACAGGTGACCCCTGGGGACACAGGCCTGAGGTGGGGGGTCTCAGCTGTGACTCGATGACAAGGTGTCACCATAGGTGACCTCCGGAGCACAGGGCTGGGCTGGGGGTCCCAGCTGTGCCCCCACGATGCAGCATTACTGCAAGTGGCTCCTGGGGCACAGGGTTGGATTGGGGGTCCCAGCTGTGGCCCAACGATGCGGTGTCACTACAGGTGGCCCCAGAGACGCGGGCGGTGATCGACTGGATGCAGCGCTACCCCTTCGTGCTGAGCGCCAACCTGCACGGCGGGGAGCTGGTGGTCACCTACCCCTTTGACATGACCCGCACCTACTGGAAGGCTCAGGAATTGACCCCCACGGCGGACGACGGCGTGTTCCGCTGGTTGGCCACCGTCTACGCCACCTCCAACCTGGCCATGGCCAGTGAGGAGCGCCGCCTCTGCCACTACGACGACTTCATGCGCTCCGGCAACATCATCAACGGGGCCAACTGGCACACGGTGCCCGGCAGTGAGTGTGAGGCCAGGGGGGTCCCGCAGCCCCCCGCCCCCCCTGATGCACTGCCACCCTCCCTTAGGTATGAATGACTTCAGCTACCTGCACACCAACTGCTTTGAGATCACGGTGGAGCTCTCGTGCGACAAATTCCCCCACGTCTCCGAGCTGCCGACCGAGTGGGAGAACAACCGCGAGTCGCTGCTGCTCTACATGGAGCAGGTGGGGGCTGCAGGGGATGGCCGGGGGTCCCCCAGTATCCTGTGGGCTTTGCAGCACCTTCCCTGCTCCCTGCTTGGGGCTGGGGCAGCAGGGGGCTGCGGCAGGCGTGTGCTGGAGGTGTGTGTGCTCAGAGGGTTGGTGTGTGCCATGGGGCCGTGCCGTGGTGCCAGGCCGTGCTCCAGGGCTTGCATTGGGTCCAAACAGCCCTGGTGCAGCTGAGGGTGCCCCACACGGGTGCTGTGCAGTGTGAGGTGCCCCCCTGACCCCCGGCCCTCTGGTTCCCAGGTGCACCGTGGCATTAAGGGGGTGGTTCGGGATGAAGAGACGGGTGAGGGCATCGCCAACGCCATCATCTCTGTGGATGGCATCAACCACGATGTGCGGACAGGTACAGCGGGACGGAGATGGGGAGGGGGGGCAGGGACAGGGATGGGGTAGGGATGGGGTGAGGCGGGACGTGATAAATGGGATAGATGGGATCAAGGGAGTGGGGACGGAGGGGATGGGGTAAATGGGATGGGATAAATGGGATGGAGATGGAGATAGGACGTCACCAGCGGGGCCCTGCCCTCCCCCCACAGCTGTGGATGGGGATTACTGGCGGCTGCTGAACCCCGGCGAGTACGAGGTGACGGCGCGGGCCGAGGGCTACGAGGCGGCCACACGGCCGTGCCGTGTCTCCTTCGAGAACGTTCCCACGCCCTGCAGCTTCCGCCTGGCGCGGCGGCGTTTGCGGGGCCGGGGCCCGCCGGACCTCCAGCTGCGGCTGCACCGCCACCGCCTGCGCCGCCTGCGCGCCCAGCGCCGCGCGCCCTGAGCCGCCCGCAGCGGGCATCGAACCCGCGGCCCCGCGCTCCCTCGGGCCCCGCCCCTCCGCGCGACACGCCTCCCATTGGCCCCGCCCTCTCCCTGACGGCCAACGGCGGCTCCGACCGCGCTGGCCCCGCCCTTCCCCCTGCCCTCCCATTCATTCCCCGCTCACGTGACCCGCGTGCCCGCCTCCCTCGCTCCCCCGCTCGGCGCCCGTTGGCTGTTGGCGGAGGAGGGGCGTGACCGTCGGCAGAGCGGCGGCCAATGGGCAGCGGGCGCCGCAGCGCCGGGCTGGCGATGGTGGAGGGCGGAGGGCGCGGCGAGGCGGTGAGCGGGGGGGGGATCGGGGGCACGCGGGGACGGGGGGGGGGCCCGGGGGGGGGGGGGGGGGGGGGCAGGGCTCGGGGGCGCCCAGGGCCGGTCCGTGGGCGCCGGGAGGTGTGGGGGGCACTGAGGGGTCGGGGCTCCTCAGGGCGCCGGGGCTGCGTGGAGCGTGGGGGGCGGTTGGGGTGAGTGGGGCACAGGGGGCTCCATAGGGGCACGGTGGGGGCTCTGCGGGGTTGTGGGGCTCCGTGGGGCACAGGGGGCTCCATGGGGTGTGAGGGTTTAATAGGGCATGGGGGCTCCAGAGGGGGAGTGGAGAGGCTCCGTAGTGGGCTCAGTAGTGTGGGGGGTTCCATAAGGTGAGGGGCTCTGTAGGTCGTGGGGGCTTTCTGGGTGTGTAGGGGGCTCTAGGGGGCATGATGGGCTCTATGGGGCACGGGGGCTGTATGGGTCATGGGGGCTCTGTGGGGCACGAGGGTCTCCATGGGACACGGGGGCTCCTTGGGCTGGGCAGTGCTGGCACTCCTCCCAGCCCACAGTAAGCCGTGCCCTCGCCCCACGGTCACTCAGCATCCGCCCTGCCGCACACCACGGGATGGGGGGCCGGGGGGGGGGTCTGACGTCTCCCGCCGCAGGGCAGCGCAGCATGGCGGGGTTCCGGATCCGGCCGTACCGCGACGAGGACTACGAGGCGGCGCGGGAGGTTTTCGCCACCGCCATGAGCGAATACGCGCCGGCGCTGTGCCTGCACGTCCTGCGGCAGCCCTGGGTGCTGCTGGTGCTGGGCTGCGTCTTCTGCCTGCTGCTGGCCAGCGCCCGCTCCCTGCTGCTGCCCGTGCTGGCGCTGACGCTGCTGCTGGCGCTGGGCCGCCAGGCGTTGGGCCGCGCGTGGCGCGCCTACATCGAGCGCTGCCTGGCGGCCGACCTGAGCGACATCCGCGGCGCCTACATGGACGAACCCGGCGCCCGCTTCTGGGTGGCGGAGGCGGACGGCCGCGTGGTGGGCACGGTGGGCGTCCGGCCGGCGGGGGAGGCCGGGCTGCTGGCGCTGAAGCGGATGGCGGTGCGCAAGGATCACCGCGGCCGGGGCGTCGCGACGGCGCTGGGACGCGCGGCGTTGGGCTTCGCGCGGCAGCAGCGCGGCTGCAGGGCCGTGGTGCTCAACACCATCATGCTGCAGCACGAGGCGAGAGCCCTCTACGAACGCCTGGGGTTCCGCCGGCAGAGCCGCTACGTCCTGCCCACCGCCTACGGCCGCCTGGCCAACTGCACCGTCACCACCTACCGCTACGAGCTGCCCTGAGCGGCTGCCGGAGCGGCGCCGTGGCGAGGAGGAACTCCGTGCCCAAAAAGCGCCGGTGGTATTTCGCGGGGATGCGGGGACGGCCGTGCCGTGCGGCTGACGCTGCCCAGCGGGGGCCTTCATCCTGCGAGGCTGAGCCGTGCTGGTGACGCCCCTGGGGACGCGGGGATCCCTGTGCCGTGAGGATGAGCGGTGTGAACGGAGCCCGGCGGGGATCCTCATCCCGTTTGGCTGAGCCATACGAACTGCCCATGGGATCCTCAAGCCGTGTGGACGGTGCCCCGTGATCCTCATAGCGTGGCTGAGTCATGCAGGCTGGCAATGCCCCGTGGGGGTGCGGGGACCCTCGTGGTGCCAGGCTGGGGCCGTGCCCCCCTCCCCACCCCCAGCCCCGCTGCTCCCCGGGGAACCACGACACCACCACGCCCCCCAGCTGAGCGGGGACCCAAACACGGACCCCCGGCCGTGTCCCCTCGACGTGTGGATTCCCGCCTGCCCCCCTTAACGCTGCAGTAATTAAAGAGCATCGGAGCGCTGCCCGCCGGATCGCAGTGTGTGCCTACCCCCCCACTCCTCCCCCACGACTCCCACCCCCAGCTCCACTGGGCAGTGACGGCCTTTGCTCGTCGGTTTAAAGGTGCTGAGCCCTGTTACGCACGGCGGCCCCGCAGCGCAGCACTCCCGCAGCAGTGGGCAAAGCCTCCGGGGGGCGGACGTGGGGCTGGGGGCTCGCAGCTCCCCGTGGGTTGAATTCCTCCCGCCGCCGAGCATCGCTCGCCGCTGCCCGGCCCTGCGCACCGGTAAGGGAAGCGGAGGGGTGCGGGATCCGGCGGCGGAGCGGCTGCTGGAGGGGGGAAGGGAAAGGAGAGCGGGACGGCGGTGCGGGACGGCGCTCGGGCTGCGCGGAGCCACGCACACGTCGTGCGGGGCGCACCGGGGGGCGGCGGAGCTGAGGGAAGCCCGGGTCCGGCTGCGGGGTCTCCGGTAGGGCAGCGCTGGGCCCCGGCGGGACCCCGGGGCTGCGGCATCCCCGGGCTCGGCCCCGTCCGCGGCTCCCGACCTCGGCACGGGCTCTGAATGCCGGGCGCTGAAGCGGCTCGGCCCCCCCGCGAGCGCGGGCACAAAGCCCAGCAGTTCCTCGTTGCTTGCAGCGCGTGCTGCCTCGCCCGTGCCCCTTTGCCCCCGTTGCAATCCTTCGGTGCCTGCTTCCCTCCCCGTGCCCCTTTGCCCCCGCCGTCTCCGCCGGCTCCTGGCTGGGCAGCGCTGCTTCCCCCCTCGTCCCACCCTGCAGCCCTCAGGGCTTTGGGCACCCCGGGCCCTGCTGCCTCCTCCCGTCTCTGTTCTCCAGCCTCATCTGCTTCTATCTCATCCATTACCGCCTCGAGCTGCCCGGCTGCCCATAGGGCCTTCCCTGTTCCTTTAGCGCTGAGAAATAAACAAAGACCATGGGAAGGGTGTGATGAGCGTGCCGTGGATGTGCACAGAATCACAGAATCACAGCATCACAGAATGGCCAGGGCTGGAAGGGACCTCAAGGATCATGAAGCTCCAACCCCCTGCCGCATGCAGGGCCACCAACCTCCACGTTTAATGCTAAACCAGGCTGCCCATCCAACCTGGCCTTGAACACCTCCAAGGACGGGGCATCACAGCCTCTCTGGCAGCTGTTCCAGCCCCTCACTGCTCTCTGGGTAAAGAATTTCCCTCGATGTCCGACCTCAATCTCCCCTCCCTCAACTTCAAGCCATTTCCCCTCATTCTACACATATCAACCCTTTCCAGGAGTTGATTCCCCTCCCCTCTGCAGGCTCCCTTTAGGTATTGAAAGGCTGCACTGAGGTCACCCTGCAGCTTCTCTCCTCCATGCTGAACAGCCCAGCTCCCTCAGCCTGTCCTCATAGTGGAGGTGCTGCAGCCCCCTGCTCATCTTTGTGGCTCCTCTGCCCCCTCTCCAACAGCCCCCTGTCTTTTTTGTACTGCGGGCTCCACACTTGGACGCAGTGCTGCAGATGGGGCCTCCCAGGAGCAGAGCAGAGGGGGACGATCACCTCCCTGTCCCTGCTGGCCGCCCCTCTGCTGATGGAGCCCAGGATCCCATTTGCTTTCCGAGCTGCAGGAGCTGCACTGCTGCCTCATATGAAGTTTTTCATCTATCAGGACCCCCAGGTCCTTCTCTGCAGGGCTGCTTTCAAGCACCGCTCCATCCAGCCTGTATGGATGCCTGGGATTCCTGTGGCCCAAGTGCCAAACTCTGCACTTTGCCGTGTTGAACCTCATCAGGTTCACCTGGTTTCACCTTTCCAGCCTCTCCAGGTCCCTCTGCATGGCATCCCTTCCTTCAACCGTGTCGACCTCACCGCTCAGCTCGGTGTCATCAGCAAATTGCTGAGGGTGCACTCGATTCCTACATTGCTGTCATTGATGTTAAAGAGCACCAACACAGAGCCCTGGGGGACGCCGCTGGTTACCGGCCTCCACCTGGACACAGAGCCATTGCTGAGCACCCTCTGTCTGCGGCCTTTCAACCAGTTTCTTATCCATCGAGTGGTCCACCCATCAAATCCACATCCCTCCAGTTTGGAGATGAGGATGTGGTGGGGGACGCATGTCGTGGCTGTGCCCGTGTGTGGCTTCGTGCCTCCATGTGGCTCATGCCCACGCCGTGAGCTCAGCCCAGCACGGCTCCTCCGTAGCCCGGAATGGGGTCACCGCACTGCAGCCGCACACTGTCGGTGCTGGGGGGCTTTTGGGGGCCTGCCGGACCTCTTGCTGTGCCCCCACCAGCACTACTGTGCTGTGTCAGTGCAGTGTGGGCAGGGGAAGGCGGTTGGTGTGCGGGGCAGGAGGACGCGGGGCAGTGGCTGGAGGTGGATGAACCTCACCGACATCCTCGGGGTCATCAGGCAGGGGCTGCAGCCCATCTGGATGCAGGGCAGTGGGTGCGGAGGCTGGAAGGGAGTCAGGCAGGTTTGCAAAGGCACCGTTTGATCGCAGGACGAGGTGCTGGGCTGTGACCCACGGGATCCTCATCCCATGTGGCTGAGCTGTGTGCACAGTGCCCCATGGGGATCTGCATCCCGTTTGGATGAGCCGTGCTGGTGAACCCCTATGGGGACACGGGGACCCCTGTGCCATGAGGCTGAGCTGTGTGGACCGAGACGCACGGGGACCCTCATCCCATGTGGGTGAGCCATACGGACGTCCCATGGCACCCTCGTCCCATGTAGCTGAGCCCTGTGGGCGATGCCCCACTAGGACCCTCATACCACACGGCTGAGCCTCGCTGGTGACACCCTATGGGGACACGGGGACCCTTGTGCTGCGTGATGCCAGGCTGGGGACGTGCCCCCCACCCCCACCCCCAGCCCTGCTGCTTCTCAGTCCCAGGGGGGGGGCTCAGCCTCCCTGGGGAGCCTCAAAAACCCAACGCCCCCCAGCTGAGCTGGGACCCACACAGGGACCCGGGCCGTGTCCCCTCGCTGAGCTGGGGTCGGATTCGTGCCTGATCCCCTTAACGCTGCGATGATCAAAGAACATCGGAGCGCTGCCCGCGGGGTCAGTGTCTGCTTACCCATCTCCCCACCCCGCCTTCCCCGCTGCTCCTTCGGCAGTGACGGCCTTTGCTCGTCGGTTTAAAGGTGCTGAGCCCTGTTACGCACGGCGAACCCGCAGCGCAGCACTCCCGCAGCTGGGCAAAGCCTCCGGGGAGCGGACGTGGGGTGAGGGGCTCGCAGCTCCCCGTGGGCCGAACTCCCCCCGCCGCCCGAGCATCGCTCGCTGCGCTGCGCTCGACCCCGGTCCCCACGGGGGCGCTGCGGGATCCCGGCTGCTCGCGGGGCTGCGGGCCCGGCTCGGTGCTGCGGGACCGCCGCTGCCCGTCCGCCGCTGCCCGGCCCTGCGCACCGGTAAGGGAAGCGGAGGGGTGCGGGATCCGGCGGCGGAGCGGCTGCTGGAGGGGGGAAGGGAAAGGAGAGCGGGACGGCGGTGCGGGACGGCGCTCGGGCTGCGCGGAGCCACGCACACGTCGTGCGGGGCGCACCGGGGGGCGGCGGAGCTGAGGGAAGCCCGGGTCCGGCTGCGGGGTCTCCGGTAGGGCAGCGCTGGGCCCCGGCGGGACCCCGGGGCTGCGGCATCCCCCGGCTCGGCCCCGTCCGCGGCTCCCGACCTCGGCACGGGCTCTGAATGCCGGGCGCTGAAGCGGCTCGGCCCCCCCGCGAGCGCGGGCACAAAGCCCAGCAGTTCCTCGTTGCTTGCAGCGCGTGCTGCCTCTCCCGTGCCCCTTTGCCCCCGTTGCAATCCTTCGGTGCCCGCTTCCCTCCCCGTGCCCCTTTGCCCCCGCCGTCACCGCCGGCTCCTGTCTGGGCAGCGCTGCTTCCCCCCTCGTCCACCCCGGGCCCTGCTGCCTCCTCCTGTGTCCCGACCAGGGGATGGCAGAGGGAGCTTCTCCAGAGCCCCCCCGGGAAGGGAGACCTGCAGCCCCCTGCCTGCTGCTCCTCCTTCCTGCCCAGAGACCCCCTGGTACAGCTACAGCTGCAGCCCTGAGCTCACTTGGCTGCTCCAAGTGCTTGGGGTGAGGCACAGATTGCTCAGAGAGATGTTGGGTGCCCCATCCCTGGTGACATTCAGGTCAGGCTGGAGTGGCTCTGAGCGCCTGATGGAGCTGCGGGTGGCCCTGTTCTTTGGGAGGGGGTTGAACCATCCTCTGGCTTCTGTGAAGGTCCCTTCCAGCTCAAACCACAATGCGACTCTATGAAGGTTCCCTCCAACCCCAACCATTCTCTGCTTCTGACCTGCAGGCCACAGTGCCCATGGCTCCGTACCGCATCCGGCTGTACCGCGACGAGGACTACGCTGCCGTGCGCTCCCTGTTTGCCCACGGCATCATCGAGCACGCCCCGGCCATCTACAGGCATATGCTGCGCTCCACACGGGTGCAGCTGGGGCTGCTGGCCCTGTTCACGGCCGTGCGTGCCACAGCTGGCAGCTGGTTGCTGGCACTGGCAGCCGTGGCGCTGGTGCTGGCGGCCGCCTGGCCCGTGATGCGCTCCTTCAGCACGTCCTACGTGCAGGAGGCGCTGATCACTGATCTGTGCGACATCGACAGCAGCTACATGCGGGCGCCCGACTCCTGCTTCTGGGTGGTGGAGGCCGACGGGGCGGTGGTGGGAATGGTGGCTGTGGCCCCGCCACAGGACCCGGCTCAGTGCGGGGAGGCCCTGGAGCTGAAGCGGATGTCGGTCAGCAAGAATCACCGCGGCCACGGCATCTCCAAGGCGCTGTGCGGGGAGGTGCTGCGCTTCGCCCAGGCGCGGGGCTACAGAGCTGTGACGCTGTACACATCCATAGTGCAGGTGGTGGCTCAGCGGCTGTACGAGAAGCAGGGCTTCAGGAAGGTGGGTGCCAGCAGCCCCTCGCTGCTTGCCAGCCTGGTCTCCTTCCAGATCTTCTATTACCGCCTCGAGCTGCCCGGCCGCCCATAGGGCCTTCCCTGTTCCTGTAGCACTGAGAAATAAAGAGAGACTGTGGGAAGGGTGTGATGAGCGTGTCGTGGATGCCATGTGGCCGTTCCTGTGTGCAGCACCGTGCCTCCACGTGGCCCCTCACCGTGAGCTCGGCCCAGCATGGCGCTGTGCTGCTCTGTCCATCCCCAGGGCCTGCCCAGCCCAGCATGGCATCACTGCCCCATGGCTGCCCACAGTCGGTGCTTTTGGGGTCTGCTGGGCCTCACGCTGTGCCCCCACCAGCAGCGCTGTGCTGTGTCAGTGTGGAGCTGCAGGGCAGGGCCTGTGGGTGGCAGGAACACTGCTGTCCCAGAACGTAGGAACAGATTCCCACTGAGCTCCGTGCACAGGGGTGTGAGTGGGGACGGGGGGTGTGAGCTGGTGGTTGGGTGAGACCGACCGCAGGACACGGGCTGGGGACAGGAGGGGACGGAGCCTGCGCTGGGATGGCGGCGGCGGCGGCCTTATTCAAGATGGCGGCGTTTCCCCTTCCTTCTGGTCCTGCCATCACTCAAGATGGCGGCGTTTCCCCTTCCCTCTGGTCCTGCCCTCACTCAAAATGGCGGCGCTTCCCCTTCCCTCTGGTCCTGCCCTCGCTCAAGATGGCGGCCGCCGTAGCGTCGGTCGTCACGGAGCGGGCGGAAGCGCAGCTGAACTGAACCCGGCCGAGCCGAGCTGAGCGGAGCCGCCGGGAGGGCTCGGCCCCGGCCGGCACCATGGACTGCTACACGGCCAACTGGAACCCGCTGGGCGAAGAGGCCTTCTACCGGTGAGGGGGGCTGAGCCTCGTGGGGGCGATCTGGGCCTAGTGAGGCAGGTCTGGGGCCTGGGCGTGGGGGGTCCCGGGGCCCGGTGCAGGGCTAGGATTTGTTCAGGGCTCCGGTCTTCGGGCCCTAGCACCCCCCTTATTGCTCTGCACTGTCCGTGTGTCTGTTCGTCTGTCCGCTCACCTGCCCGCAGCAAGTTCGAGCTGTACACCATGGAGTGGGGCCTGAAGGAGGAGCTGCGGGACTGCTTGGTGGCAGCCGCCCCGTACGGCGGGCCCATAGGTAGGGCCGGGACCCCGCGGGGCCGGGCGGGACGGTGCGCCTAACAATGGCCGGGGGGCCGCAGCCGGCTCAGGGGCCGCTCCATCCCAACCGCAGCTCTGCTGAAGAACAACGCCAGGAAGGAGAAATCCCCCAGCGCCCGCCCGCTGCTGGAGATCTACTCGGCCTCGGGGCTGCTCCTGGCCAGCGTCCCGGTGAGTGCCTGAGCGGGGCTGGCGGAATCCAGCTGCGCTGGGTCTGCTGCCACCCTGTCCCCAAGGCTGTGCCCCGTGCCCTTCCTAGAGGTGCACGATGTTCCTCGAGATGGCCCTGCCCTGGCCGCGGCCCTTGGAGGATGCTGAGCTGCGCCCCTGGTGGCACTGAGCCCTGGGCGGGAGGGTGGCTGTGGAGCTCTGTGTGCCCAGAGTTTCCACCTGGTGCTGCAGGTTCGTGGCTGGGCTGTGAGACCGGCTGCCGCCTCAGCCTGTGTGCCTTGGGGCAGCTCCTTTGGGCTGCCTGCAGGGAAGCACAGTGCTGCCATGCGTCCTCAGCATCTCCAGCTTTCAGGAGTCACCACTGTGCACTTCTTGCAGCCCCTGAAAGCTTCGGTTTGGCAGCTGCTCAAAAGCAGCGCTGCGTTGCAAGGGTGCTGGGAGTCTGCAGGGAGAGGGAGGCACCCAGACTGGGAAGAAGAGCACGGGGTGGGGATGGGGAAAGCAGCACTGGAGCTGTGGGAGTGTCCTCCCTTACCCACTGTCTAGAGCTGGGGAAGATACAGGAGGGGTAAGCTGTTGTGCCTGCAGGGGGCTGCAGTCAGGGGCACCAGAACTGCAAATGCTGAACTGCAGCCACTGGCATCGTTTGCATCTCCCAGAGGGGCAGCTTGGCGGCCAGGAGGTGAGCAGCAGACGCTGATCAGTTTCCTGCTTGCAGTGGAAGAGTGGCCAGCTGGTGCAGCTGGGCTGGACAGCCAGCGAGGACCTGCTGTGCATCCAGGAGGATGGCACTGTTCTCATCTACAACCTCTTCTGCGAGTTCAAGCGTCACTTCAGCATGGGCAACGTGAGTGGGGCGGGGAAAGAAGGGCTGGGGACTCGTCACCGTGAGGTCCACACAGTTGGATTTGTGCGTTGGAGAAGTGCTGCAAGGCCTCCCTGAATGATGCCAACCCAGTAGGGCCGAGAGCTCCCCCAGCCTCTCTGCAGAGCTCTTCCTTTGGGTGTGAGCTGGCACGTGTCCCACAAGCACAGGCACACGACCTTTATCTGCTGGGATGCTGCTGGCTGCACGGCACAGGGCTGGGCCGTCCTCCCTGGGACAGTTTTGCCCCCAGAGCCCCGGTGCCTCTCTCCCAGCAGCATGGTGCCGTGCCCCGATGCCCCAACCTGGGCCCTTCTTCCCCGTGGCACAGGAGGTGCTGCAGAACCACGTGCTGGAGGCGAAGGTCTTCCACACGGAGTACGGCACCGGCGTGGCCATCCTCACTGGAGCTCACCGCTTCTCGTTGACCACCAACATCGACGACCTGAAGCTGCGCAGGATGCCCGAGGTGCCAGGTGCGTCTCCTCCCCCGCTGCTCCTCGCTCTGCCTGCCATGGGGTCCTGACGTTGGTCCCTGCAGGTCTGCAGAAGCCACCCTCCTGCTGGGCTGTGCTGACCCAGGACAGAGTGACCGTCGTCCTGCTGGCGGTCGGTCAAGACCTGTACCTGCTGGACAACACCTCCTGCTCTGTGGTGGTGAGTGAAGCCACGGCAGCACCGATGGGGAGCGGGGCGATCTGCAGCTTCCAGTGCTTCCTGGCGGCTCCTTTCCCCACACCCTGGCCGAGGACAAAGCCATGGAGATGAGGCAGATGCAGCACGGCAGGGGACGGCCACGCTCTGTGCAGCTCTCAGCCCCTTCGTGCTGCGTCCCTGACCATCCCCGTCCTTTTCCTCACCCCAGACACCCCCTGGCATGAGCCCCTCCGCAGGGGCCTACCTGCAGATGGCCGTGTCCTTCAACTACCGCTGCCTGGCGCTCTTCACTGACACTGGCTACCTGTGGATGGGGTTGGCCACGCTCAAGGTGAGCGCCCCTTTCCCTCCCCGCCGCTTGGTGTCGGTGGGAGCCCGCCCTGCTCTGTGCTCCCCCACTGCCTCTCGCAGACCTGATGGCATCCCAGCAGTTTCTCCTTACGTGCCTGTGGACGCTGCAGCCCCATCTTGCTGCTGTTCACAGGCATCTGTGCTCTGCCATCAGAAAACCCACTCTTTTTGCACCCAGTTTTATACAATACTCCTCACTTTTTCCAAATCCACATTTTACTGGCCTTGTGTCTTCCGTTCTATGTCCAAATACCTCCCAAATAAACAGGCTGCTCCTAATTACTCTTTCCACACCAGATTCTGTTGCATCCATGCCTGAACTTGGTGGTTCTGATATTGTTTTGTAGCAGGCTCAGCCATGTTACTGTAGCTGGCGTGGCCACTCAGGTACAAGTGGTCCATTGTGGTTCACACTGTGATGTGCTGGTTGCCTTCCGTACTCTTTGAAGCAAATCAACGTTCTTTGGACTTGGTTCATTATTTTGGTCTCAGTTGAGCACAAGCAACTTGCTTTATGTACAGGTGGGCTGCTTGCCGGAGCGGTGGCTGGAAGTTTACAATGATTGTTTGCATGGGTTGATAGTGATCAAACAAGGGGGAAACGGGAGGTTTAGGTTGGATGTTAGGAGGAAGGTTTTTGCACAGGGTGGTGAGGCACTGGAACAGGTTGCCCAAGGAGGCTGTGGATGCCCCATCTCTGCAGGCATTCGAGGCCAGGCTGGATGTGGCTCTGGGCAGCCTGGGCTGCTGGTTGGTGACCCTGCACATAGCAGGGAGTTGGAGCTGGATGAGCGCTGTGCTCCTTTGCAACCCAGGCCATGCTGGGATTATGAAAGTTTCTCATGCTCAGTCTAACTACTGCACGACATCCTCGACCTTTGTCTGCAGCAGCCACGGCGCTGGCTCCCTCTGGGGCTGCAGAAGTGGCCAGGTGCTTCTGCAGGACGCCCGTGCAGCTTGCTGCCTCCTCAGTGCATGGTTCCTCCTTCTCCTCCTCAACTCTTCTCTTTCCTTCTGCAGGACAAGCTCTGCGAGTTCAACAGCACCATCCGCTCCGCACCCAAGCAGATGGTTTGGTGAGCATCTTCCTGACCTTCCCCCTCTCTGCTTTGGGCTGCACCTTCTCTGCACACCTCCATGTGCTCGGCCCTTTGCAGGCCCCCTTTGGCTCCGTGGCTGTGCTGGGGGTCATCCCTCAGGTCCCCACTCCAGGTGCAGGGCTGGGTGGGCTCTCCCTGACCGCGCTGGGGCTCCCTGCAGGTGCACGCGTCCCCGCAGCCGGCAGCGCGCCGTGGTGCTGGCCTGGGACCGGCAGCTGATGGTGGCTGGGAATTCCACGGAGTGCATCCGGTATCCTTTGGGGAGGACGGGCCGTCGCTCCTGCTGGGCGCCTCCTCGGGCCACCGCTGGTGGAAACCACTCCTCTGTTGGTGCCCCCAGACCCTTGGTTCTCTTCTCTGACTTTCCTGGTGGAGAGCAACCCGCCTCCCTCCCAGCTCGGAGAGCAGAGCTTGGCCACAAGAGCCCCTGCGGCTGGTAGGGCTGTGCCAGAGCCCCCCGCTGAGTGCCCAGGGCTGAGAGCCGTCACAGTGGGACAAAAGTTCCTTCAAAGTGCCTGGAAAGAAGGGTCACGATGCGTGGCCCTTTGGGGATGGGCGATCAGGGGTTTGTTCTGTGCCATCCCTGTGGCTGACCTGCTGCTGGTAGAGCCGGGCTGCAGCCAGCAGCTGCTTTCTTCCCACGAGCCCTTAGCGAGAGGCACAGATTTGTCCTGGATGAGGACTCCTACCTGGTGCCGGAGCCAGATGGGGTCCGGATCTTATCCCGCACCTCCCATGAGTTCCTGCACGAAATCCCAGGTGAGGCCATCCCAGCCCTGCAGAGGGAGGGCACTGGCACAGGGTCTCGGGTCCCAGAGCTTACAGAAGGGTTGGGTGGGAGCAGTGCCTGGCTGGGTGCATCTGGGCTGGGGCAGCCTCTCATGCTGGCTTTTATTTTTTAACCCCCTTTCTGCAGAAGCCAGCCAGGAAATCTTCAAAATCGCTTCCATGGCACCAGGAGCACTCCTGCTGGAGGCACAGAAGGAGTACGAGGTTTGGCACCCCGTTCTGCTTCACACCTGCCTCCTCCCTTGGGCTGCCCCAATGCAAACCCAGCATTACATCCAGTGTGATGGGAAGGGGGTGGCCTGGAGGTCCCTGCGGGGGCACGGTGCTGCTGTGCAGGCAGTGCAGGCAGCCCCTGCTGTCCCTGGGTTGCTGGGGCTCCAGGCGCCCGACACTCACCCTGGCTGCAGTGTCCCATGTCCCACAGCTCACTTAGAGGCTGTGCTTCCCTGCAGAAGGAGAGCCAAAAGGCAGATGAGTACCTGAGGGAGATCAAGGACCAGAAACTGCTCCCAGAAGCAGTGAGCCAGTGCATCGAGGCAGCCGGCTATGAGCATGAGCCAGAGACCCAGAAGTCCCTGCTGCGGGTGAGTGAAGAGGGCACATGGGGGCTCTGGGTGAGGCTGAAGCTGTTCCCCTCCTGCTGGAGGCTCTCCCAGGGCCCGTCTCATCCCCAGATCCCACACTGGTCTCCTCTTGCAGGCAGCCTCCTTTGGGAAGTGCTTCATCGACAAGTTCCCCCCGGAGAGCTTCGTTCGCATGTGCCAGGACCTGCGGGTGCTCAACTCCATCCGGGACTACCAGATCGGCATCCCCCTCACCTTCACCCAGTATCCTCCGTGGGGCAGGCAGGAGGGCCGACTGTGGAGTCTGGCAGGCAGTGCGAATCCCCTGCCATCAGTGCCAGCCTTGGCCGGGGAGCTGGGATGTAACAGGATGGGGAGGGGCGGCCTCAGATCAGCCGGCCCCGCGGTGCTCGGCTGCAGCTTGCACCCTGGGCCCCAGAGCAGGGTCAGCCTCTTGCACTCACTGCACGCTGCTGTGCCCAGCCCCCTGCCTGTGATGCTGAGCCAGCCCTGAGCTCAAGTGCCAGCCGTGGAGGTGCTGCCAGGAGGGGGTGGGCACCCAGCACGCGTTGCCTGCGCTCCGCAGGGTCCGAGATGCCCTTGACTGTTGTGCAGATACAAACGACTCACCATCGAGGTCTTGCTGGACAGGTAAGGTTTGCTCCAAACCGGGTTTGATAGCCCTGTCCCTGAGCAGCCCAGGCCGTGCCCAGCCCTGCTGCGGTATCTGTGCAGTCTCTGCTCCCCCGGCCGGTGGCTGAGTGAGCTCTGAGAGCTTGGGACCCCCCTGAGGCCGGCTGAGCTGCACGGCTGCTCGCACAGCACGCTGCTGAGCCCCCCTGTGCCCTCCAGGCTGGTCCTGCGGCGGCTCTACCCCCTGGCCATCCGGATCTGTGAGTACCTGCGCCTCCCGGAGATCCAGGGCGTCAGCCGCATCCTGGCCCACTGGGCCTGCTACAAGGCAAGGAGGGAAGGCTCTGGGGGTCCTGTGCCGTGTGGGGCCGTGCTGACTGCTCCACTCCGCTCTAGGTGCAGCAGAAGGACAAGTCTGACGAGGAGGTGGCTTATGCCATCAACCAGAAGCTGGGTGACACGCCAGGCATCTCCTACTCTGAGATCGCTGCCCGGGCGTACGACTGCGGCAGGACAGAGCTGGCCATCAAGGTCTGTGGCACGTGCTGGGGTGGTGGCACCAAGGGCTCGGGGCGACACTGGCTGCGTGCTGACACCCTCTGTGGTGGCCTCAGCTGCTGGAGTACGAGCCACGCTCCGGGGAGCAGGTCCCACTGCTGCTGAAGATGAAGCGGAGCAAGCTGGCCTTGAGCAAAGCCATCGAGAGCGGGGACACAGACCTGGGTAAGGGGCAGGGCTGCGGCTCCTGCACACACAGAGGGGTCCTGAGGCAGGAGGGACCCCGCAGAACCCAACACCGAGGGGTCTGCCTGCATCCAGGCAGCAAATCTCTCTTGGGAGGGACTTGGAATCCAGGGAAGGCCATTCATGGCTTAGTACTGATGGGGCGGTGGGAGCTTGAGCCCTGCAGGGCAAGGGGGGAGCAAAGGGCTCTGCCCTGCACGTGGATGCACGCTCACAACCCTTGCAGAGCTGAGGACTGGCTGAGTGTCCCAGCAGTGCTGCCCTGGGCAACTGTGCTGGGGAAATGTCCTCGTCCCCTGTCCTCAAATGCTCCTTCTGCCCCAGTCTACACCGTCGTGCTGCACCTGAAGAACGAGCTGAACCGTGGCACCTTCTTCATGACGCTGCAGAACCAGCCGGTGGCTCTGAGCCTCTACCGCCAGGTGAGGGCTGCCAGCCGTGTGCAACCTGGCTGAGGGCATCCCACAGAATGGCCGGGGTTGGAAGGGACCTCAAGGATCACGAAGCTCCAACCCCCCGCCACAGGCAGGGTCACCAACCTGCCCATTTCATACTACACCAGGCTGCCCAGGGCCCCATCCAGCCTGGCCTTGAACACCTCCAGGGATGGACGGGGCATCACAGCCTCTCTGGGCAGCTGTTCCAGCACCTCGCCGCTCTCATAGTAAAGAACTTCCCCTGACATCCAGCCTAAATCTTCCCAACCCCTGCGTGCTCTGCCCACAGTCCCCACTTCCTTGGCTGGGGACCTGGGAGCCATGTGATGCGGCAGATGCAGCTCACTGTACCTGCGAGCCCTCACCTCCACCTATTGCTTCCCAGTTTTGCAAGCACCAGGAGCGAGAGACGCTGAAGGACTTGTACAACCAGGATGACAACCACCAGGAGCTCGGCAACTTCCACGTCCACTCCAGCTACTCAGAGAAGGTCTGTGTCTGGCAGCATGGGAGGAGCGTAGTGAAAGAGCTGGGGCTTGTTGCCCTGGGGCCCTGTGTTGGAAGTCATCAGCCCCTCCTGTATGCGATGGAGAGCTCCAGCTCCCCCCAGGGTGAGGAGGGGTCCAGCTCTCTGCCCATCTTGTGTGATGATCACGGCAGGGCATCATCGAGCCCCTCAGCCCAGTGGAAGTCCTGCCCTGTGCCCTTGCAGTGCAGCATCTGTGTTGCCGTGGGGTGATGTGTCTGTTTTCTGTCTCCAGCGCATCGAAGGGCGGGTGGGAGCCCTGCAGAATGCTGTGGATGAGTACTACAAGGCCAAGAACGAGTTTGCTGCCAAGGTGAGCGTGACCAGGGCTGCGAAGAGCAGCTCCCCCGCTCTCAGTGCAGCTGGGCAGCTCTGGGTTCATTGGGATCACAGCTGCTGTATGGGTTACCGGGTGGGACAGTGCTGTCATTTGCTGGGTCAGAGACCCTTCAGTCTGGTGCTTTACTCCACAGGCCACAGAGGATCAGATCAAGCTCCTGCGGCTCCAGCGACACCTCCAGGAGGACTTTGACAAGCCCTACCTCGACCTCTCTCTGCACAACACTGTCTCCACTCTGATCCAGGACGGTCACCACAAGAAAGCTGAGCAGCTGTACAGGGAGTTCAAGATCCCCGACAAGCGGTGGGTCTGGAATGAGGGCAGCGCTGGACTGCAGCTATGGGTCACAGCTTTGGGGGCACAGTTGGTTTTTCCTGCTGCCCCACATGGGCGTTAAGGCGGGGGCTGCAGCGTGCTGGCAGCCATAGGAGCTGTTCTCCTGGTGTCCCCAGGTACTGGTGGCTGAAGATCAGTGCCCTGGCCACCCGCGGGGACTGGGAGGAGATGGAGAAGTTCTCCAAGAGCAAGAAGTCGCCCATTGGGTACCTGGTAAGAGCTTTCCTCACTGGAGGAGGACCTGTCCACCCTCCCTGCCAGCCCTTCTTTCTGTCCACACTCAGTGCTGTCCTTGAGGAGGCTGTGGGCTGGACCGCGCTGTGGGGCTGAGCTGCCCTGGGGGGAGTCTGGTGTGGGACAGCAGGCTCCCTTCACCCCACTCCTCTCCTCCTCAGCCCTTTGTGGAGATTGCTGTGAAGCACCACAACCGCTATGAGGCCAAGAAGTACGCGCCCCGTGTCACCCCTGAGCAGCGGGTCAAGGCCTTCATCCTTGTGGGGTACGTTGGTTGTCTGAGCCTGGGGGGGCAGGAAGAAGCCGGAGGGATGGCTGGGGCTCACGGCAGCAGGGGGATCGTGGTGCAGCAGCACTCCCAGGGCTGTGGGCTTGGGGTGCTCAGGAGGGATAAGGAAACACTCCTCCTTCTGCTGCCAGTGGGGGCAGCCCTGCACCTACAGCCCTGTTTTCTCACCCTAACCTTATCTCACTGCGGGGTGGGAAATGGTGCCTTCAGCCCCCGCTTTGCCCCCAGGGACCTGGAGCAGGCGGCTGACGCTGCCATCGAGCACAAGAACGAGGCTGAGATGAACCTCGTCCTGTCCAAGTGCTCTGCCGCCACTGACAGCGCCGTGATGGAGAAGCTGAACCGGGCTCGTGCTCAGCTCCTCAAGAAGTGAGCCCCAGTGCTCCCCTCCTGCTGGGGGGGCAGGAGCTCAGCTCCCCCTCTCCTGAGCTCAGGCCCCTCGTTGAGAGCACGTTGCTGCAAGGAGGGGTCCGTGGCTGGGAGCACTGCGGCAGCGCTATGCTGTGGCTGCCGGCAGCTCCCTGCCCTCTCCTCCTGTCCCCCCTTCAATTCTTGGTCAATAAAGAGCGAGAGCCTGCTGTGCTGCGTCCTGGTGCGGAAACGACCCCCGGGAGGCATGTGGGCCCTGGGGGGCACGGAGCGATGAGGCGTGGAGATGTGCTGGGGGGGGGGGGGGGGTCCCGCGGGCTCCCAGGGAGCGCTGGGGCGCCTCGCGGCAGATAACTGCCCTGCGTCCTCCCGGCCGCCAGGGGGCGCTCTGCACTGCACGGAGCCGCTGTAACCGCCTCCACCCGCCTTGCCGCAGGCGCGGGGCGTTGTGGGGCGGCAAGATGGCGGCGCTCAGCGCAGGGCGGACTGCGGTCACGGTGAGGGGCTGCGGGGGGCGGTGCGGGGCGCGGCGTGGCGGTGCGGGACCGGGTTTGGATGCGGGCTCCGGGGTCGGCCGGGAGGAGCGCGGTGCGCTGGGGTCGCTCCGCCGCCGTTTAACCGCCGCTCTCCCCTCAGGGCCTCCTGCGCGCCCCGCGCGGCTTCTGCCGGCCTCTGGGCGCCTCCGCCGCGCTGCAGCAGATCCCGCGGGCCAAGGTGAGTGCGCGGCCGGATCTGCGGCCCGGAACGCCGTCGTTCACAGTCTGACGGCCTCAGCGACTTCTGCTTTTGTGTCCCATTGTAACAACTGGGGGGTCGTTAGCGTAGAGCAATAGGAGATCATGCACCGCCGTTACCATTAGGCGTTGAGGGAGGAGCGCAGTGCGTGTGGCTCACAGCGATATGAGGCACAGGGTCAGCACTGAGATTGCTTTCCCCTGCACTGCAGCTCGGGCTGTGCTCCCTCGTTTGGTGACCACAGAGATGATCGGGGCTGCAGCACTGATTACAAAGGCAGGCTGAGGGAGCTGGGCTCGTTCAGCACGGAGAAGAGAAGCTGCGGGGTGAGCAAAGTGCAGCCTGCAGTGCCTGAAGGGAGCCTGCAGCCAGGAGGGGAGGCAGCTCTGTGCAAGGGGAGATGGCAGCAGGACGAGGGGAAACAGCTGGGAGCTGAGGGAGGGAAGAACGAAGTTGGATGTCATGGGAAGTTCTTTAGAGAGAGAGAGGTGAGGTGCTGGAACAGCTGCAGAGAGGCTGTGATGCCCCGTCCATCCCTGGAGGTGTTGGAGGTTGGATGGGGCCCTGGGCAGCCTGGGCTGCTGTGCAATGGGGAGGTTGGTGGCTCTGCCTGTGGCGGGGGGTTGGAGCTTCGTGATCCCTGCTGTCCCTTCCAACCCGGGCCATTCTCTGATTCTGTGTCTCTGTGTGACTTTGTCCCTTCCCATCACCATCCACGCTCTACAGTCAGTTCTGTGAGGTCACTGCTGGCTCTGCAGGGAATTAGGAGCTAAAGAAGCATGGATTAGTAGAAGCACTGTGTAAAAATAGGTGCCAGCTGAGTGGGAGGGCGATGGTGGTGATGGGGAGTGGCTCAGGAATCACCTCTGAGACCAACTCTGCTTCATACATTCAGGCTTGGTTTTCAGCACAGAAGGGTGGATGGTGATGGGACAAGGGGGAATGGCTTTAAACTGAGCCAGGGGAGGTTTGGGTTGGATTTTAGGAGGAAGTTTTTTGTACAGGGTGGTGAGGCAGTGGAACAGGTTGCCCAAGGAGGCTGTGGATGCCCCAGGATTCAAGGCAGGCTGGATGTGGCTCTGGGCAGCCTGGGCTGCTGGTTGACCTGCACGCAGCAGAGGGTTGGAACTGGATGAACACTGTGCTCCTTCTCAACCCAGGCCATTCTGGGATTCTGCAATAAGCTTGGGGTGCTTTAATGAGGTGTGCAATTAGCAAAAAGCAGCAGGGCAGCGTCAGCACACAGCAAGATGGGGCTTCACATGGGCAGATGAGGTGATCCTGCAGACGAGAGTAGAGGCGAAGGAACACTTAGTAAAGCAGCAGTGCACTGTGAGCTGCAGCAGCGAGTGCTCCTGTGTGTGCAGAGGGGCAGCAGAGCAGGGGATGCTGTGTGAGGAAGGGTCTGGGGTGGCAGTGGGGCAGGGGCTGCGTAATGAATGACTGTGCGAAGGGTGCAGACGTCCTGCGTGCTGTCAGCGACCTTCCTCTGCCTTCCTGCATGCGGGCTGGGGATGGCATGGGATTACCTGGGAGTGTCGTTTTCTCTCCTTGCAGTCAGAAAATGCAAAGTCAGAGAGCACCTTCCAGGTCACCATGCTGCCTGGGGACGGCGTGGGCCCGGAGCTGATGCACGCCGTCAAGGAGGTGTTCAAGGTAACGTCTGCCGCCTCTTGGAGCAGCAGGGCCAAGGGTGGCAGCTGCAGAACTGCTTAGAGGTGCTGCTGAGCCGGGGGGGCAGCCTGCCTGCATCCTGCAGCCTGGGTTGTGAGCAGCCTGAGGTGTTTCCCTTGCCTAGAAAGGTTCAGCTTCTTGCAAACGGTTCGTTCTTCATGGCGAAGGCATTGCCAGCTGTGAGTCAGGGCAGGAGTGAGAATTGAGCAGCATTCTGCTGCAGAGTGGGTTGGTCACAGAATGGAGAACAAACAGCGTTGTCTGCTGTGTTAGAAAACCAAAATGACCCCGAGGGCAGGGAGTGCTGATGTGAGAGGTGGCAGAAATGCCACTGTGCCGCCATTTCAGTCCCAGCTGAGATGCAAGCAGTGAGCTGAGGTGCAGCACGTTGCCTTCGGTTCGCTCTCCTCCCCCAGGAGCTTCTGCCTGGTGGAATTTCGTGCCTCAACGCTCTGAGCCCCGCGGTCGTTTGCCTCCTGTAGTGTGTTGGAAAGGACCCTGCTGAGGCTGTTGCCCTTTGTGTGTGGTGCAGGCTGCCAGCGTGCCCGTGGTCTTCGATGAGCACCACCTGAGTGAGGTGCAGAACATGGCCTCGGAGGAGAAGCTGGACCAGGTGGTGGACTCCATGAAGGAGAGCAAAGTGGCCCTTATAGGTGAGGACCTGCACTCGCTGCCTGTCCAGCAAGGAGAGCTGCACCAATCTCAGAAGCTGTAGGTGCTTTCGGAGGGCAGGAAATGCTTCTCTTTAACAAAGAAGCAGTTTACCTCTTCTTGTGTAGCTCATCAATGCAGAGGTTATATCCAACTTCTGCTTCTGAAAGGAGACCTCCTGGCGTGGCCTGCAGAAACAAAGGGCCTCATCTGGGTCCATGTAATGCAACTGCATCTTTGTCCTGTCCTGGGCTTTGTGGAAAGCCTCCCTTCCCTGCTGCCCTTTCACCCGGGTTCGGATTTGTCCCGAGCAGCTGTCAGTGCACTCTGTGTTCTTACTGCTCGCTGTTGTCCCTGCAGGCAAGATCCACACCCCCATGGAGTACAAGGGAGAGCTGGCTTCTTACGACATGAGACTGAGGTGAGCCCAGCACCTTGGCTTGGCTGCTGGGGCTGGGAAGGGACACAGCACCAAGAAATGGCTTTGCACCGGCCCTGGTGCTGTGGCACTGAAGCGGGGCTGAAGGAGAGTGCAGGGCAGATGGGTCCACGTGTCACCAGGGAGCCAGAGATCCTGAGGAGCTGCGGCTGGGAGCTGCCTCTTCTGAGTGCCACCCCACTGCCTGGGGGCCTTCGGAGGGGAGGGAGGTGGCAGAGCAGTGGGCGCAGTGAGCCAGCTCTGCGTCCTTGAGATCAAGGGTAGCTGGAGCAGTGGCTATGTGACACCCCAGGGGACAGCTTGCAGTTTGCACCGTGCCTTGCTGGCACCCCCAGCGCCTGCCAGGAGCAGCCCCTGCTCCAGGAATAGCTCGTGGTCAAGTGCTGACTGCTGCTCTCCTGTTGCAGGCGCAAATTGGACTTGTTTGCAAACGTCGTCCACGTGAAGAGCCTGCCGGGCTATAAGACACGTCACAACAACCTGGACCTCGTCATCATCCGTGAGCAGACGGAGGGGGAGTACAGCTCTCTGGAGCACGAGGTACGAGAGCCACCTTGAGCTGCTGCTGGCCTCACAGGGGGGGATCTGGTGGGCTGTGGGCCTCTCCTCAGTGCCTGGGCACACAGGGCTTCCCACGTTGCTCAGTAGCACCCAGCACTGCCCAGCACTGCCCAGCAACACCCAGCAACGCCCAGCACTGCCCAGCAACACCTAGCAATGCCCAGCACTGCCCAGCAATGCTCAGCAATGCCCAGCACTGCCCAGCAGTGCCCAGCAACACCCAGCAGTGCCCAACAACGCCCAGCAATGCCCAGCAGTGGCAGATGGGTGCAAGCAGTTGGTGATCTGGGCGCACGCAGACAGCGGCAGGCACGCTGGTGGGCTGCAGGAGGGGTCAGGCCTGAAAAAAGGCCCTGTGGGAGTTGAGGGAGCTCTCACTGAGCGATCCAGCAGTAGGCAGAGGCTCCTGGTTGGTGCCACAGGGCACCGGGCTGCCAGCAGTGCAGCTGGGTGAGGCAGGGCTGCAGGATGTGTCCAGCTGCTCACAGCTCCCTTCACGTGCAGAGCGCCAAGGGGGTCATCGAGTGCCTGAAGATCATCACCAGGGCCAAGTCGCAGCGCATCGCCAAGTTCGCCTTTGACTACGCCACCAAAAAGGGCCGCTCCAAGGTGACAGCTGTGCACAAAGCCAACATCATGTGAGTGCTGTGGGGCCGCTGTGGGGCACGGCTGCCTGCAGGCCTTGCTGCTCTCGGTCCCCTCGCAGCGATGCCAGATGCTGGTGTGGCTCCAGAGAGGCCGGGCATTTCCTGGCAGCTGCTCTTCCCCTCTGCGCGGCCTCATGGCTGGCACAGGCCTTACTGAGGCCTGAAAGCTGTCAGCTGAGCAGGAAAAACCTCCTGCATGGGAGGCAGCTCTGTGTGCTCCCCCGGGCTCTGACTTCACCGCTTTGTTTCTGCAGCACGAGCTGCCCTGGGGCTGCCTGCCCCCCTCCCTGCTGTGCTGGGACGCCGACTGCTGTTGGATGCTCACTTTGTAGTGCTTTCAGTGCTGTCCTGCAGAACCCTCACGGTGTGTACTCTGTCTCTCAGGAAATTGGGTGACGGGCTCTTCCTGCAGTGCTGTGAGGAAGTGGCAGAGCTCTACCCCAAGATCAAGTTTGACACCATGATAATTGACAACTGCTGCATGCAGGTGAGGATCCCGCTTCCTTACCCAGAGCCGTTCTGCACCTCCAGCTGCTGCTCTGCCTGCTGGGCCAAGGGATAAAAAGCTGACACCTGAGGAGTGCTGCTGCTGTCAGCTGCCAGGTCTGGGTGCTTCCTTGTGTCCTGGCCCGAGGTCTGCTGCTTGCAGGAGGGAGCACAAACTGGGCTCCCCGGGCCTTTCCCTGCTCTCCACCAGCTGAGGGCAGGAGCTGCAGGGCTGATGTCTGGGGCCTGCAGCTGATGCCTGGGCTGGGCCCGCAGCATCTGATCTGTCTCAGCTGTGCTCCCCGCCGTTACTGACTGCATTTCAGGCTGTCCCTGTGGTTCTGCTGTTGCACAACTCGCAGCCCCTGCCTTCCTGCTGTCGGCGCTGAGCGCTGCGCAGGGCTCACATCTTCCCTTCCCTCCGCGCAGCTGGTGCAGAACCCCTACCAGTTCGACGTCCTGGTGATGCCAAACCTCTACGGGAACATCATCGACAACCTGGCTGCCGGTTTGGTGGGCGGTGCAGGCGTGGTGCCCGGGGAGAGCTATAGCGCCGAGTACGCCGTCTTCGAGATGGTGAGGAGGCGGCCGCGCTCCCGGCGGCGCTGGAGCCGCTCTCTCTCGGCGGCGCTGGGGCCGCTCCGTCACCCGCTTGTCCTCCCCGCAGGGCGCCCGGCACCCCTTTGCCCAGGCCGTGGGCAGGAACATCGCCAACCCCACGGCCATGCTGCTGTCGGCCTCCAACATGCTGCGGCACCTCAAGTACGGCCCGGGGGCGGGGAGGGGGGCGGCGCTGCGTGCGGGGCCGGGAGAGGGGCTGGGAGCCGGGCTGGGAGCCGGGCTGGGAGCGGGGCTGGGAGCGGGGCTGGGAGAGGGGCTGGGAGCGGGGCTGGGAGCGGGGCTGGGAGAGGGGCTGGGAGCCGGGCTGGGAGCGGGGCTGGGAGCGGGGCTGGGAGCGGGGCTGGCGCTGAGCCGCGGCCGCCGTCCTCTCCACAGCTTGGAATTCCACTCCAACTTGATCTCGGACGCGGTGAAGAAGGTGATCAAAGTCGGAAAAGTGAGTGTTGGGTGAGCCGTGCGCGTGCCGCGTCCTGTGCGGGAGAGCTGGTGGTGCAGCGCGGCGCTGCGTTGTCCCTTAGGGACGGCGCCAACCTCTCGCCTCCCCTTCTCCACCCGAGGGACCGAATCAAAACCCTGCGTGTGTAGCTGTCGTGTAGAGCTGTAGTGAGCTGTAGCCAGCTGCAGTCAGCCCTTCTGCTTGTCTGGGTCTGCTGCCTTGGGATGCTCTAGCAGGGCTGGGGGACATCAGGTGGCCTCTTCGCAGCTTGCCCCCCTCTGGGCTCTGGCAGGGCACACAGAGGGAAGCTGCTTTCCTCTCTTCTCCTGTCCTCTCCCTTCTCTCAGTGATTTCGCTCAGTTCACAATCACGTTTCTCCCTTGTTTCTCCCCTTCCCTGTGTTGGATTTTTAGGTTCGGACGCGAGACTTGGGAGGTTACTGCACCACTTCTGACTTCGTCAAGTCTGTGATTGACAACCTGCACCCCCACTATGGTGCCTAGGAGCCCCACTCGCCCGCGGCGAGCCCTGGGACCTCACTGCGCCCTGCAGCGGCCTCCCCCACCGTAGTTTAAAGCCCCGCAGCCATTCCTTCTCCTGCCCTCGCCCTGGGCCTCAGGGGAGGAGGGGGCTCTCCTCTTCCCCAGCCCAGTGCCCACCCGGAGCCCCGGTGGCCGCATCTCCCTTCTCCCCACAGCCGAGCGGTGCCAGAGGAGGTGGCAGCCCCCAGGCACATCCCAGGCAGGCAGCTCTGCACAGCAGCGGGACCCGGGGTCCTGCCGACGTCTTTCCGTGCTCCCAGAGGCTTTAGCAATAAATAGGACCCCAGGGCTGAGGCCCTGCGCTGGGGGTGTGCGAGGGCAGCTGTTGGCTTGGAGCGTCCCGTGAGGCGCAGTGCTACGTGCAGCAAAGGGAGATGTGAGGTTTGCTCAGGAGCTGCCCAGGGTCGGCCCTGCGTCCTGTCCTTATGAGTGGCTGCTTGCTGAAGGCTGTCAGCTCAGCCCCCCCTTCCCAGGGCAGCAGCCGCTCGCAGCTCCCTGCCGCTCCTCCTGTGCCCAGCCATAGCAAGGTGGGGGTCAGCCTGTGCTGAGCCCTGCTGGCCCTGCAGGGGGATGAGGCTGCAGGAGCTCTTGCTGGGACCAAGGGAGGCTTTGCCCCACAGCTGCGTGTGTGAGCGAGCGTCTGGGACCCGCGTTTAACTAACTGTGCTTCGTGTTTTGTATGCAAATAAATGGGTCCGGTGCTCCCCCCGCCCTGCACCCGGCCCCGGTGCCGTTTCCCCACAGCCCTGCTTGCTGCCTGCATCCCAAATCACCCCATCGGGGCACGGCCGGCCCTGGGCTGCAGCTGGGACGCAACGCCCCCCCTTCAAGGAGCGCGCGGAGCAGCAGCCCAACGCTCCTCTCTTCCTTCAGCCGCCTCTTGGTGCAGCTGCTGGGAGCAGAGGAAGCTGCAGCCCTGCGTTCCGCTGGGGCAGGGGGCCGCGGTTGGGGTTCTGCAAGGCAGAAAGCGGCGGGGCTGAGCTGTAAAAGCATGGGCAGAGATCCGTAGGGACGGCGCACACGGAGCGGCGCTCGCCCGACCCCGGAGGGGCAAAGGAACGGCCGCAGCCCACGGCAGCTCAGCGCCTCTCCCTCCTCACTGACGCCGCCTTTTGTTGCAGGTGCGCACAGCAGACATGGGCGGATACGCCACGTGCCTGGATTTCACCCAAGCTGTGATTGGGGCCCTGGATGCGTAGGGCTGCTGCTCGGCCTCTGGCAGCCCTGCCGCTCCCGCTGCCTGCTCGGTAATTTATTGCTTCCCTGGAATAAAGCAGCCTCTGCAATGTAACGGTGCAGCGGGGGGGTGGGCAGCCTCGCCATCTCATCTCCCTGCTCCATCCCCACCTGTGTGCCACCGGCAGCCCCTCGTGGCTGCAGGAACAGAGCACAGCACTGTGCCATGTGCTCCAGCAGCTCCGTGCCGCTGTGGGGCGCAGTGCTGTTACCGGGCACCGCGCTGGGGGCTCCCGCAGCCACCATTGGACTCTGTGAGGCCCAGCGGCGGCAGCAACAGACCAGGAGCGCAGCTCAACACCAACCCGAGCCCTTTATTGAGGCTCAGTCACACCGCACAGGCTGTCGCCCTCTGGCAGCCACGGACGGCGCGCAGCTGCAGCCGCTGCAGGGCTCTGCAAGGCACCAGGAGCCCCGGCTGAGCGCGGCCACGGGGCGCAGAGCAGAGCTGCCCAACGCCTGCAGTGCTGGGCAGGCGGCTGCCGGCAATCGGACGGCAGGTTGAGGAGCTGCAGCCAAACCAAACCGGCCTCTGAGTCTGCAGTGCTGGAGCACGGCCCCGCTCCCGCTGCCCCCCGCTTTAATCCTCCTCCAAGTCCTTGGCCTTTTTCTTCTTCTTCTTCTCCAGGGGGGCGCCCTCTGCCAGCAGTTTCCTTTTCTTCTTGGGCAAGGCCTCTTCCTCCAGCCCGTTCTCCTCTGGCTCTGTGGCAGCTTCCTGCTCCTTCTTCTTCTTCTTCTTTTTCTTTGGCTCTATGTTGTTTTCCTAAGAGAAAACACACAGTGAGGGCCCAGCCTATGGAGCACAGAGACAAATGCTGGCTCCTTGCAACCAACCCAACAGTGTGCCCAGGTGGCCAGGAAGGGCAATGGCAGCCTGGCCAGCATCAGAAACAGCGCTGCCAGCAGAGCAGGGAGCTGAGCATCCATCCCCTGTGCGCAGCTCTGTGAGGCCGCACCTCGAGGGCTGTGTGCAGTTTTGGGCCCCTCACTGCAGGGAAGACATGGAGGGCCTGGAACGCGTTCAAAGGAGGGCAGTGAAATGGTGAGGGGTCTGGAGCACAGGGCTGCTGAGGAGAGGCTGAAGGAGCTGGGAATGTTCAGTGTGAGAAGAGGAGCTGAGGGCAGAGCTCACTGCTCTCTATGGCTGCTGAAGGCAGGCTGCAGGGAGCTGGGGGGCGGCCTCTGCTCTGGTGCCATCAGCGATAGGAGCAGAGGGAACGGCTTCAAGCTGCGGCAGGGGAGATTGAGGCTGGGCGTGAGGAAGAATTGCTGGTCAGCAAGGTGGGCAGCACTGCAATGGATGCCCAGGGAGGTGGGGGAGGCAGCGAGCCTGGGGGTGTTGAAGGCAAGGCTGGATGGGAGCTGTTGGCAATAGGTGAACAGTTGGACTGGGGGAGCTTTGAAGTCTTTTCCAACCTGGGTGATTCTATGATTCTATAACCTCCCCCTAAGCTGGGTTGGGGCCCAAACATCCCCCAGCCCTGCAGGGCAGTGGGGAAAGAGCAGCAGACGCTGCTGAACAGCCCACTGCACAGAGAGGCCACCACAAACCCACCCCAAAGGGCACTCAGAGCCTCTGCCCTCACCTCTGCCTCCTGCACAGAGTTCTCCATCTCCTCCGCAGCTGCAGCCAGAGCCTCCAGGCGCCGCTTCTCCCGCTTCTTCCTCTTCTTCTCCTTCTTTTCCTGCTTCCTTTTGACCTCAGCCACCACCTCGTTGGCCTGCGGGGAGCAGAGCAGCGCTCAGTGCAGGGCCGGACTCCCACCCCCCCCCCTCTTCCAGCACAGCCGTCGGATCAGCCTCATTAAATCAGCTTTTTGCCTCCACAGCAGGTCAGGTGGGTGCTTCACATCACGTCCGACACCATGCCCACCCAGCAGCCCCACCTCCCCGCAGCCTCACCTCCACCACAGCCTCCTTCATGACCTCCAGGTTCTTGCGGGGCGGCTCTCCGGTCTCATAGAACGCCAGCCGTTCCTCCACCTGCTCCCTCAGCTTGTCCCCAAAGACGCTGGTGGGAACCTCTGTAGGGACAGCTGGCCTCAGCCCCCCTCATCCACCTGAGCCCGGCGCCCACCTGCCCCCATCCCAGCCTCTGCTCAGCCCACAGAACTCAACATTCACTCCGTGAAATGCTGCTGACGAAAAATCTTCCCATCACAGCAGAGGCCGCTTCCCCCGCCCCCATCCCACCCCCATCCCACCCCCCATCCCAGCCCCACAGACCCGAGAAGCAGTCGATGCGGGAGGCGATGGTGCATTTGTTGGCCAGGTAGCGGGAGATGCGCCCTTTGTTCTTGGCGGCCGCGCGCCCGATGAAGGTGGAGTGGAAGATGAGGCCGTACTTGGGGGTGTTCCCTCGTGTCTTCAGAGCCCTGCCACAAACCCAGTGCGCCATCGGGGGCAGCCCGGGGCCAAGGTGCCCTGAAGGGAGCTGCCGCCCCTCCACCCCCCAGGGCCGCTGCCCCGCTCCCCACCCTCTGACCTCACACAGCGCGCTCGACACGAGCTGCTGAGCCGCGGCGGTCGCTCAGGGGCTGGGGCCGGCAGCTCACACGCGGCCGAGGCCGGAGCAGCCCGGCGCATCGCAGCCGGCAGCCCAGGGAGCCGCCATCACCGCGACCACCCTGCGGCGGTACCTGAACAGGGCTTTCTCAGCCCCCAGGATCTGCACCGTCGAGGCCGGGTACTTGGCCAGGTTCGTCAGGCTGCCGGCGTGGGAGATGAGGCGGGCGCCCACCTGTGAGGGGACGCGGGGTTACGGCTGCCCTCAGAGCACCGGGGCCATGAGGGGGGGGGAGGGGGGCGGCAGGCAGCGCCCAGCCGGGATCAGCAATGAGGATTGTCAGCACAGCGGCTCAGTGGATTGACAGATTCTCTCAGACATCACTTCCACGGCCCAGGGGGGAGAGGGGGGAACGCACTCACTCACCACCTCCCCGATAAGGGCTGAGAGGCTGGGGGCCACCTGGCTCATCTTGGAGCGCAGGTACTCCTGCAGGCCCTTACGGTACTCGGACAGAGAGATCACACGGCTGGAGAAGCTCTCGATGTTGATGAGGTCGATGGGGGAAATGTCCATCCCTGCGGAAAGCAGCGTCAGGGAGCCGAGCTCCGCCAGGAGCTCCATGGGCTGCGCAGAACCCCACTCACCCATGGAGGAGCGGGACGCCTCCAGGATGGCCTGAGCCTTGGCGCCATCCATGACGATCTCCTCCAGCCCCTCCAGGCTCTCCTCGCTCAGCTCCTTGCGGTTGCCAATGAATTTGGCCAGCCGGCAGTAGGTGTAGTTCTCAGACACGATCTTGATCAGCTCGGGGAAGTGGTACCCGTACCACTCACTGCACAACAGCATCAGCACAGGCGCTGCCCCCCCCCCCGACCCCCCGCACCGCCCCCCCAGCCCCCCGTGTCCCCCCGGTCACAATCCGGCCGCAGCACCGCCGCCCCAGCCGGGGTGTTACCCGAGGCCGTGCTCTCCCTCCCCGTTCTTTGCAGGCGGTTGGAGAAGCAGCCGCCCGCGGTAAGCGTGGGGAGGCCCCGCACCGCCACCCTGCCCAGCCTGGCCCCCTGCTCACCGCACGCGCATGGAGAAGGTGTTGATGTCCTTGTCCAGCTGGTCCAGCAGACTGATGGACTGGATGATCATGTTGTCCACGCGGTTCACGTTGAACTTCACCTTGGCCCGGGAGTAGCTGTGGCCGAGGCCGAGCTGCGCCTTGGAGGCCGACTGTGCCGTGAGGCCCTTCACCAGAGCGTGGAAGTGCAGGCGGATCCCTGCAGGGGGACAAACCATCACCGGCCCCATCCCCACCGCCATCCCCATCCCCACACGCAGCCCTGCAGCCCGCAGCTCAGCTCACCCCGCAGGATCTCGGCCACCACGCCGCCGGTCTGGCACTGATAGCCCAACTCCTCCAGGATGGCGGCCCCGATTTTGGCGTCTCCCACCCCCAGCAGCGCCTTCTTCTTCTTGGCCGGCATCGACGTCTCCAGCAGCAGCCGCAGATCCTCGTGCAGGATCCCTGCGGGACGCGGAGCGGCGCTCAGCGGGGCGGGCCGGGAGCCGCACGGGGGAGCCGCGCGCCGCGCTCACCCTCAGAGACGGCGTTCATGTTCTCCAGGGCGCTCTGCGCGGATTTGAACGGGGAAAAGGCCACGAGCTTCACCACGTTGTGGAACTTGCCGACGGTGAGCACGCTCTCCTCCACCTGCGGCGGGACGCGGTCACAGCCCGGAGCGGCACGGGGGGCCGCCGCGCCCCCACCCCCGGCCCGGCCCGGCCCGTACCTGCGGCAGCAGCAAACCGATCTCCTCCACCTCGCGGACGGCGAACAGCGCGTACCCGGCGGCATGTTCGAACAGCACGTGCAGCAGCACCTGAGCGAGCGCCGCCGTCAGCGCGGGCCCGGGACGCCCGCCAGGCCCCGATCCGCGCCCGCTGCGATGAGGGCGGCCCCGACCCGACCCGACCCGCGCCCGCGGTCCCCCGGCCCTCTCCCGCCCGCCTCCCACGCCCGGCGTTGCGACCCCGGCCCGATGCGGACGGATTCGGCCCCGCAGGCCCCGCGCTTACCATCGTGCCGCCAGCGCCGCCCGGAACTGAGAGCACCGCACCGGAAGCCCACTTTATCGGAAACCCGCCCCGCCCGCACGCAGCCAATCGGCGGCAGCACCGCCCCTCCCGCCAACCAATCAACGCAGGATTCCTCTAGAAGGGCGCCCGCAGCCAATGAGCGAGCGACAGACGCGGATCCGCCCACCTTTACTCTCTCGGCCAATCAGAGACGCTCACTGCAGCTACCGCCCGCCTCTTCCCGCTCCCAGCCAATGGGAACGGCCGCAGCGCTTTCCCCGCGTTCCGCTCGGTTCGCTGCACGCACGTGCGCTCCTGTCCCCCCTTTCCCGCAGTGCCGCACGTGGCCGGAGCCCCGGCACCTCCCGCCCCCCAGCAGCCCTCCCCCCCGGCACCCCAACCGCGGTGCGGCCGAAAGAAGGCGTGGAGCCGCGTGGCTGCACGAGGCTTTATTGGGCGGGAGGGGAACGGGGGGGTTTCTCCGCCGGGGGGGACACGCGATGCTCCGAGGGGGTCCTACACCACGAAGTGCCGCTGGAGTTGGAGCAGCAGCTCCGGGGTGAGCAGCACGCGCTGCTCCCGGCCGTGTCCTGGCGCGCACGGGATGGACACGCGGCCGAAACGCGTCAGGCCCTGCTCCTTCTCGCGCTGCGCCTGCGGGAGAGAGCGGCGGCGGTGGGGCCGGGGGGGTCCGAGCTCCAATGAACCCCACGAGGCCCCGCTCAACTCACCTTCAGGAAGGACGAGGAGGGGAACGCACCGAAGCTGGTGGGGACGCCGGCGCCCGGTTGCTCCTGCACTATCTCCCGCATGGCCTCGTCCTGCGCAGAGCCGCCGCTTCCAGCACCGCCCGCAGCCCCCGCTCCCCCCATCCCCCGCCCGGGCGCTGCCCGCACTCCTTACCCGCAGCGCCTCGATGCTGCCCTTCACGGCCCACAGCCGGGCCGTCTGCTCCAACAGCCGCGCGGCCGCACTGCGTCCTGCGGAGGTGTGGGGTGAACGCGTGGCCGCGGCCCTCACCAAGCCCTGCACTCAGAGGGGAGGCTGGGGCCGTGGGGCTCCTGGGGAGGCTGAGCTGCAGCAGCGAGCAGCGCCTCTCCGGCGCCGTGCCATCCCCGGCGCTACAACGCCCCCAGCGCGACGGGGCTGCACGGGGGGCTGCGCGGCACCGTGAGCCGTCCCAGCGCCCGGCCGGCAGGGCTGAGGGGCGGGCAGGGGCTCCGCACGGTGCCGCTGCTCCCCCCGGCACGAGGATGGCACCGACGGCGTTCACAGCCCTCGGGCTCGGCCTCACCGCGTCCCCGCTGGGCTCACCTGACTTGGTCTGCTTGGTGTCCACCACCTTGGCGTTGGTGCTCATCTGGTACAGAGTCTCCAGCAGCTGCGTGCTCTTGCGGTACAGCGTGAGCGTGGCCAGGCCCTCCCCATGCTTGCTCTGCGGGAGGGACACCTTGGCCACCTGCAGGGGCTTCAGGCCGGCCAGCTCCAGCTTCATCTGTGCGCCCTGCGAGGGGACAGCAGTGGAACGGACGGCGGGGAGGGGGGGTGAGGAATAGGGGGTGATTGGGGAAGGGGGTGATGGGAGCAGGTTGGGTGTTTGGGAGGAAAAGAACAGAGAAAATGAGCGTTAAAGGCAAGGAGAAGAAGACAAAGTGGTGCTCAGAAACAGCTGCAGGCGGAGCTCCTGACGGTGAGGGACCCGTGGTGGCAGTGCTGCCTCACACTGAGGGGTAGGGGATGGAGGGGGGCGGCCCTGCAGTGCTGCTCAGTGCCTGCCGGGCTTGGGGCTCCCCCACAGCAGCAGCCATGGCTGCGCCATACAGCATCACAGAATCGTAGGGGTTGGAAGGGACCTCCAGAGATCATCGAGTCCAACCCCCTGCCAAAGCAGGTTCCCTACAGCAGGTCAAATCACAGCCCTGCAGCCGCGCATCACCAGCTGCATAATTACACGTCTGTGAATTACTGCCAGCAAAAGGTTATTTGCTTAATGAGGTTCTTTGCTGCTCTGTTTCCTCCTAGAGCTCCACTCAGCACCAATGCGCCCAGCACTGCCAGCTCCTGCCCCCCAGCTGGGGGTCGTGGCAGGGTGGCTCCTCCAGCCCCACGTCCCGCCGCCCCGCGCTCACCTTGAGGCGGTTGTTCTCGTTCTTGAGGTGCCTGATGGAGAGCTGCAGCGCTTCGATTTGCTGCAGGAGGAGGGGGGAATCCTTCACCTGCACCGGCCCCGTGCTGCTGCCCCCGGCTGCCTGCCCAGCTCCCACTCCTGCAGGAAGGCACGCGGCGTCAGCCATGCAGCACAGCATGGGGGGTGCTGGGCACACCGAGGGCTCGGCCCCACGATTTGCGCCGCCCGAGGCACTGGGGCTGAGCTCAGGTGTTGCTCAGGCACAGCTCGCACCACGCCGTGCTCACAGCAGCCCCAGCTGCTCCCGCTGCCCGTTTCCCAGGGATGCACACCGTCGCTGCAGTCGCATCGCCCCGCATCCTGCAGTCCCACACTCTGCCCCCTGCCCCCCCCTCTGCCCCCACCTGCGACCCTCCCCCGCTGCAGCTGCTGCCCACCCCCAGCATGCTGTGTGCCCGCTGCCCTGCATGCACTGCTGGGAGCGCCGCGCGCCATGCCGCCGTACCTCTCTGCTGTTCCTCTGCAGTGCAGGGAGAGGAGGCAGAGGAGAGACAAGAAGAGGAATTATGCTGAGGACTGGGGCTGGGAGCTGAGAGCAGCTGTGCCCCCAGCCGTGTCCTGTGCCACTCCGTGCTCCTGCTGCAGTGACTGCGGGATGCCCAGAGCTGCAGCTCACGGCTGCAGTGACACAGGGAGAGGTTGCAACCCAAAGGCAGCTGCCATCTGCTCCCCAGCGAGCTGCTGGTGGTCGTGGTGCAGCGAGAGGGCGATGCTGCCGTGCCCTCCTTGCGATGGCATCACCCAGCCCAGGGGGCCGGATGGGCCAGGAGCCGCCACAATGCTGACGGCTCTGCCACGCGCTGCCCTGCAGCCAGCACTGCTGGTAATGCCAGCATGGTTCCCTGCAGCCCTGCGTGGAGCTCTGCCTGCCACCACTTGAGGGACACAGAGCTGCCAACACCCCAGCTGCCCTCACTGCCCCCATGCGGAGCTGCCGGCCCTCCCCACGGCGCCACCACCGCTCCAGCACCTCCTGTCCCCCCCACCCCGACCCTGACGGCACATCCAGGGCTCCACGTCCCCAAGGACAGCAGAGCCCCCCATCGAGGGGCTGCTCGGTGCCACGCACCTCCTGCGATGCCCGACACGATGGAGGCGACCCCGGAGGCGGGGGCCCCGCGCAGCCCCTCGATGGTCCTCTTGGACTGGTTGTTCAGGCGCTGCTTCAGCTCCACCTTCTCGGATTCCAGCTGGTCGATGTCAGCCTGGAGGGCGTCCATGGTCTCCTCAAACTCCCTGCAGAAGCCCACGCGCTCACAGCTCTGACCACGGCTCGCCCCCGTGCCGCCCCACAGATGTTCCACATCGCCTCGAGCAGAACGGGTGGTTCTGAGCCATGGGGGACCCCTAACAGCCCCATAGCCCCCATAGCCCCCACCCCACGCTTACTTCTCCTTCTTCTTGAGCAGTGTTTGGGTCTCGTCCAGCTTTGTCTGTATCTTTTCCACGCGGTCGTCGGCATCCTTGGACGCGCTGTCCAACTTCTTCTCCAGGAGGCTGAGGCGCACGTTGGCTTCGCTCAGCTCCTCACCCTGCAGCACAGGGGAAGAAAGCAGAGCTCAGAGCCCCGGGGGAGCACAGGGGAGAGCTCTCTGCAGGTCCCTAACAGGGGCTGCCCAAAAATCCCACGCTGCCGTACCGCCGGTGCCCAGAGCAGCGCCCACAGCGAGGCACCGGGCTGCAGCACTGCTGAGGATCGAATGGGGGGTGAGGCAGCAGCTCCACAGGCAGCAGCTCCACAGGCAGCAGCTCCACAGGCAGCAGCTCGGCAGCGGGGGCACAACGCTGAGCACAGCACTGAGCACTACAACAGCCCTGCTGCCCTCCGCTGGCTGGCTGCCCCACTGATGGCTCACCTTGATCTTCAGGGACTTCTTCAGCTCCTTGATGACCGTCTCCCTGTCCTCCAGCTTCAGCCCCAGGCCCTCAGCATCGGTGATCTCAGCCCGAAGAGCGGCTGCCCGCAGCTCAGCAGGTGGGGTGGGCTGTAGAGGGGAGCGGAGGGAGACGATATAGAATTGGGTTGCAGGGCTCCAAGCACAGCCCCCCCTGCAGCTCACCCCACAGCTCACCCCGCAGCCCACCCCTCAGCCCGTCCCATAGCCCACCCCACAGCCCAGCCCACAGCCCAGCCCACAGCCCACCCCTCAGCCCACCCCACATCCCACCCCACAGCCCACCCTGCAGCCCAGCCCACAGCCCAGCCCATAGCCCACCCCTCAGCCCACCCCTCAGCCCACCCCACAGCCCACCCCACAGCCCACTCCGCAGCCCAGCCCATAGCCTGGCTTACTTTGCTCTGTGGCCGGTCAGCATCGTATTCTCCCTCCTGCATGGCCGTGGCCATCTTGTTCATGGTGGCAATAAGGATGCTGCAGGACTGGCGCAGGCACTCATAGGGGTTGATGCCCTGAGTGCCGTAGATCTGCAAGGATTTGGGGGGAAGTGGACAGGGCAGGAGGCCCTCAGCGGAGCTCCCAGCCCCCTGCAGCCCCCCCACACCGTGTCACATCCACAGGGGCTGCAGGACAGGGCCGGCTGCGGTGCAGCGTTTCCCATCCCACTTTGCTCCAGGCTCTGCAGCGCAGCAGGGATTCGGTCCCCTCGCTGCAGCAGGGCGCCCGGGGAGGCAGAGCACAGCTGCCCACCTGCTCGCTGACTTTGAAGGCCAAGTCCTCCAGCTTCACTGCCTGCAGCCCCTCATTCTCAGCCAGCGGGGCGATGAGCTGCGCGCCGGCAGCGGCCACCTCCTGCAGCACGGCCACCACCCAGGTGAGGTGCTTACGGCAGTCCAGCAGCGTGTCTGACACCTGGGGCCGGGCAGAGGGAGGTTGAGGGGGGGAAGCAAAGGGGCCGCACCACCCCAACCCCCAGGCACTGCAGCCATGGAGCAGAGCAGCCCCATGCCGGGCTCCGACAGGGCTGACGTTTAGCAGCCATCACTGGCAGGATGGCAAACATGGGAGAAGCAGGAAGAAACTCAAGGATGGAGGGGAGGCGATGAAGCCCACGCACCCCCCCTGAGCACAGACAGCACGCAGCCCACCTGCTGCCCGAAGCCCAGCGCTGCCGGGATGCCCGGTGCGTCCGTGCCCGGCATGCGGCGCCGGATCTTCTTGCAGAACTGCCTGATGTCGCTGCACGACGTCTCCAGGTCCTTGAGCAGGATGGCCAGGTCGGATGCCTCCTGCCCGGCCTAAGAGAGGAGAAAGGAGCTCAGCCATCTGCTGGGGGTGGGGGCACCCAGCACAGCCCACCCCACGCTCCCTCCTACCTGCAGGAAGGCGCGCAGTCTGCACACCTCCACCCCCATGCAGTCCAAGGCACTCTGGGTGAACTGCGGGCACAGAGCGGGCGCCGTGAGCAGCAGCGCAGGGCAGCACGGTGCTCTGGGCTGCAGTGCTGGGTTGGACCCCCTGCGCCCCACGCTGCTGCAACCCCAGGCTTTCCAGGAGAACAGTTTGAGGGCCAAACAGGTTTGGTTTCACCCCGTGGGACGCAGCGCTTCCACATGGAGCTCAGGAGCTCCTGGATGCAGGGCCCACAGCCCACACCTCCCCCCTGTCCCACGGCTGTGCCAGCAGCAGCAGCTGCCAGGGAACCACCAGCAGGGCTGGGGGGGGTGCAGGGACCCCCAGGCCGCCCCGTGGGATGCAGGGGGGCAGCGGCTGCATTGCAGCACTTCACCTTGATGTGGTCGGCCAGCTGCATGGTGCAGTCCTCAGCCTGCTCGGCCAGGTGGATGCTGTACAGGTGCTGCACAAAAAGAGATCATCAAAGACCGGCGTCCCTTGAGCGCTCCCACACATGCAGGCACACGAACCAAGTGAGGAAATGCATTAAGAAAAGCCAACCCACAAAGGCTGAGTTTGCCCTGATTTTTAACTGGAAGTGAAAACCCTCAGCAGGAGCAGAGCAGGCCCTGCGAGCACCCAGCCCTCACAAGGAGCTGCATTAAGGGGGTCCTTCTGAACCACCCACCAACAGCACAGAGGTGCAGAATCCCAGCGCAGGGCAACTCTGTTGCACCTCCCGGGATGCAGCACAGCCCCAGCCGGCGGCCACGGGCTCAAAGGCCGCATGCTCCAGGGGTGAAATGCTCCCCAGGGCTCCAATAGGCTGCTGCACGGCGCCCACCTGGTAGTACTTGATGGCTTTGGTCAGGGGCTCCACGTTGACCGTCTCATCCAGCTGGTCCTTGTGCAGCAGCTCGATCAGGAAGTCCAGGGAGCGCTCGTGCACACTCATCTCGGGGTACAGCATCCCCACCTTCTTGTACACCTCCACGCTGCATTTGTTCAGGGCTCTGGGGGGGGGGAACGCAGGCACGGTCAGCTCACCTGCGACAGCAGCGGGGCTGTGCTGCTGGGGGCCGACTTCCAAGCTCCCTGTGGAGCACAACAGCTGGGCAGAAGTCAAGACGCCCGCAGGAAAGCAGGGCACGAAATGGGAGCTCTGTGAGGCAGCCCCCGGCGCAGCGCAACGCAGCCTCTGGGGGCAGAACGCAGCGCTGGAGGCAGATCCGCCACCTCGCAGCAGCGCACAGCGTTCAGCAGCAAAGGAATCTCCCAGAGCTCTGCCTCGGCGAGCCCCGATCCCGGGAGCTGCCCCCTGCAGGACGAGCGCAGCCCCTCACCGCCATCCCCAAGGGCGGCTCCACGCCGCGGCGCCGCACAGCAACGCGGCGTCGATGGGAGCCGGGGCTGACGGCGCAGGGCAGCCGGACGGCCGGGCTGGGGGCTGGGGATGGGGCAGCGGGGCGGGCCGTGCACTCACTGCTCGTATTTGTGCAGCGTGGCCTGCAGCAGGCTCAGCGAGTACACCAGCCCCGCTGCGAAGCTCAGCTGCTCTCCTGCCGCTCCCCGCAGCCCCGCGCGCGCCGCGCAGTTCTCGTTCAGCTCGAACTTCTCCTGCGCCTGTTTGCTGATCAGCTCCGCCTGTGGGGAAGGGAAAAGCTTCAGGAGTCGCGCTGCGCCTGCCCTGAATTGGTCTGCTGGGTACGGGGTGGATCCCCTGCACCTCCGTCCCCAAAAAGCACCGTTCCTGGGAGGATCTCTGAGCACGGAGAGGAAACGGCTGGGAGCCCCCACTGCGCCTGTGCTGGCGGAATGCTGGCACTGCCCAAAAGGACAGGCTGAGCCCCAGTGCTGCAAGCAGCTGGCAGCCAGGGCAGGAACCTCTGCTCCCTCCTCCTCCTTCTCCTCCTCCTCCCCCTCCACCTCTTCCTCCTCCCAGGCCCCGCTGAATGCCCTCAGACAAACAAACACTCAAAATCCCAGGACGGAAGGTGAGCCCAACAGCACGGCGGCTGCAGGACGGCCCCTCCACCCCCGGGGAGCCCACCTTGCAGATGAGCCGCGGGATGAGCAGCAGCACCAGGATGCAGTCGTGATCCCCGCCGTGGCGCAGGAAGCTGTCCGGCATGAAGGAGGTGAGCAGGGAGACGTGCCGGTTGGCCTGCTGCACCTCCATCTGCCGCAGCTCCATCTCGATGGCCTGCAGCAACACAGCGCACAGCTGCTCAGTGCTTCCGACCCGGTGCCCGGCTCGCGCGAACCCCACACAGCGCCGCAGGACGGGGAGGCAGCTGAGAGCAGCACGGAGGAAAAGGCGCAGGGTGCTGCTGGTGCATGGCTGCCTGAGAGCCAGCGGTGCAGAGCAGCACAGAGCAGAACAGAACAGAGCAGAGCAGCGCAGAGCAGTGCAGAGCAGCACAGAGCAGTGCA